GTATGTATGTATGTATGTATGTATGTATGTATGTATGTATGTATGTATGTATGTATGTATGTATTTATGTATGTATGCGCGCGGTGTACGGCGAGAAAGCGGGGCGTCGCCGCGTCAGGGCTCGCCCTCGGGCTGTGTGCGTGCGTGCGTGCGCGCGCGCCCTCGGGAAATATTGATTTCAGAGTCCGTATCGCTGTCGCCGCCGCCGCCGCCGCTGCCGCCGCATATTCCCCCAGCCGCGCGCGCGGTCAATAATTGATTACCGTCCGCCTGTGCCATGCGCCGCCACCGTGCGTGCGTGCATGCGTGCGTGCGTGTACATCGCGTGTGTGTGTGTGTATGTGTGGGTGTGTGGGTGTGGGTGTGTGTGTGTGTGTGTGTGTGTGTGTGTGTGTGTGTGTGTGTGTGTGTGTGTGTNTGTATGTATGTATTATGTATGTAACTGTATGTATGTATGTATGTATGTATGTATGCATGTTATGTATGTATCGTATGTATGTACTGTATGTTTATGTATGTATGTATGTATGTATGTATGTATGTATGTATGTTATGTAATGTATGATATGTATGTATGTATGTATTGTATGTATGTATGTATGTATGTATGTAATGTATGTATGTTGTATGTATGTAATGTATGTATGGTATGTATGTTATGTATGGTATGTATGTATGTATGTATGTATGTATGTAATGTATGTATGTATGTATGTATGTATGTATGTATGTATGTATGTATCGTATGTATGTATGTATGTATGTATTGTATGTATGTATGTATGTATGTATGTATGTATGTATGTATGTATGTATGTATGTATGATGGTATGTATGTATGTATGTATGTATGTATGTATGTATGTATGTATGTATGTATGTATGTATGTATGTATGTATGTAATGTATGTATGTATGTATGTATGTATGTTATGTATGTATGTATGTATGCTATGTATGTATGTATGTAATGTTATGTATGTATGTATGGTAATGTATGTATGTATGTATGTATGTTATTGTATGCTATGTATGTATGTATGTATGTATGCGCGCGTGTAACGGCGGAGGAAGCGGCGTGCGCCGCGTCAGGGCTCGCGGCTCGGCTTGTGTGGCGTGCGTGGTGCGCGCGGCGCCCTCGGAAATATTGATTTCAGAGTCCGTATCGCCTGTCGCCCGCCGCCGCCGCCCGCCCGCTGCCGGCGCATATTCGGCCCAGCGAGACGCGCGCGGTCAATAATTGATTACCGTCGCCTGTGGGCCATGCGCCGCTACGCGTGCGTGCGTGCGTGCGTGCGTGGCGTGCGTGCGTGCGTGCGTGCGTGCGTGTACATCGGCGCGCGCGGCGCGCGTGTGTGTGTGTGTGTGTGTGTGTGTGGTGTGTGTGTGTGTGTGTATGTGTATGGTTGTATGTGTATGTGTATGTGTAGTGTATGTGTATGTGTATGTGTATGTGTATGTGTATGTGTATGTGTATGTGTATGTGGTATGTGTATTGTATGTGTGTGTGTGTGTGTGTGTGTGTGTGTGTGTGTGGGTGTGTGTGTGTGTGTGTGTGTGTGTGTGTGTGTGTGTTGTGTACGTGCATATGCGCGTGCGTGCGTGCGTGCGTGCGTGGCGTGGCGATGCACATGCGCGCGTGTGTGTGTGTGTGTGTGTGCGTGCGTGTACATCGCGTGTGTGTGTGCGTGTATGTCTAATTGTGCGTGTTTTATTTCGTGCGTGGGTGCGTGCGTGCGTAGCATCGCGCGCAGCTGTGTGGTGTGTGGCCGTGTTGCGTGTGGGCGTGTGCGTGTGCGTGTGCCGTGTGCGTGTGGCCGTGTGCGTGTGCGTGTGCGTGTGGCGTGTGCGTGTGCGTGTGCGTGTGCGTGTGCGTGTGGCGTGTGCGTGGTGCGTGGTGTACGTCATATGGCGCGTGTGTGCGTGCGTGGCGTGGCGTGCACATTCGCGTGTGTGTGTGTGTGCGTGGCGTGTACGATCGCGTGTGTGTGCGATGTATGTCCATATGGCGCGTGGCTGTCTTGTGTGTGTAGCTCGGTGGTGTGCCGTGCCGTGTGTGTGTGTGGTGCGTGCATATGCCGCGTTGCTTGCGTGCATGCGTGTACGTCATATGCGCGTGCTTGCGTGCGTGCGTGTACGCCATATGCGCGCCGTGCTTGCGTGCGTGGCGTAATAACATCGCGTGTGTGTGTACGTTCAAGCGCCCAATCATGCGAGTGCTTGTCTTGGGCGTTTTACGCATATTGCACAGGCACAGTCTTAATGTTTCTTGCTACTCTCCCCCTTCGCGGCTATTATGCCGACAATTTGCCTGTAAATGTCATGCAAACGCTCGCTCCTGCAACCACTGTAACATCGACACGCAAACGGATGCCCTGCCGCAACACTGACACATAATATGTGTCAGTGTCTCGGCAGCGTGCGTGCGTGTACATGTGTGTTGGCATATATAATATATTATATTATATTATATTATATTATATTATATATATATAATATATATATATTATATATATATATATGTATATTATATGTCTCGTGCGTATACGTCATATGCGCGTGCTTGTCTCGTCTGCAGGCCAATCCATGACGCCGGCGAGAACGACCACGTGGAGATTGCGCGTCTGCTGCTGTCGTACGGCGCCGACCCGACGCTCGCCACCTACTCCGGCCGCAGTCCGCTGAAGATCGCGCGCAGCAAGCGCATGCGCGAGTTCCTCGAAGGTACGTGTTCTTTTATCACTAGTCGAACATATGTGTGTGTGTGTGAGTAGCGCAGAGCCTGTAGCGATCACATGGCGACTTGACCTTCTAAATGTAATTTTGGAAGCAGTTCCGAGAACTTCAAGATATATACACACATCGTTAGTATCAGGAGTTAGTATATACTTGCGTCATTGTGACGTAGAATGCGGAGGTGGCGTCGAATATGTTTGAGACAGTTTCTGAAAGGTAGCTGTTTTCGTTATTAAATATTTACGTCATTATGACGTAGAGCACACGTAGAATCTAATGTGCGAAGCGGTTTCTCGAAGGTAAACATCTTTTCTATTAATTAATTGCGCCTCTGTGGCGTAGAGCATACACAGAGTATCACACAGGGCCAATGTAGAGACCGCATGTAGACCATATAGAAGCCGCATAGAATCAAGAGCTAATAATACCTATATATTAATCCACATAAAAAATATGGAAATTTCCACGAAGTATTTCTCTTTTCAATCTACGCATCTATGGTATAGAGATCATTGGGGAAGCAATGTCCCTGAATAAGCATTACATTAAACCTTTGTCATACGTTAGTACCTCGTATAACACTCTCCGTCTCCATCCGTAACAAACGTGACAATATAAGTACTATATATAGGTAGCTCAGGGCCCCAGCGGTACCACCAGAAGGCTGATCTCAGAAATATTTTAGTCGTAAAATGTTCTGTGTTATAATGGCACGAATTACTGAGACGTACATGAGCTGTACTACTTCTAAAAACGCCTCTCCCTACGGGTTAGAACTCCTTCGTGCCACTCTAGAACATCTGAGTCTGTGCGGTAGTGTCATTTTAAGACAGTTTTAGGGCAGTGGATAATCATAATGCAGGGGCGTAGCCTGCGGGGGGGGGAAGGGGGCAGCTGCCCCCCTAGATTTTGGAGCAAAACTAAAAAAATAAATTGTTCTACTAAAAGAGAATTGTCGTAGTCAGAATAAAGGCTGTGCATGTACTCAAAAGTGCCTCGAATACCATCTCCTGCGATCTACATTTTCATAATTTTCTGTGGGAGGACCCCCAGACCTCCCACCTGTTTCTCACCCCTCCTTGAAATCCTGGATCCGCCACTGCCCCTCCTAGGAATTTACTCAGCCTTCGGCCCTGTAATGTACAGTGTCCTCTTTATTCCCCGTGACGACGACGAATGCGACGATTTTTTCACGAGATTCGTTTTTCCACGGAATTAGCTCGCTCAGAGCGTAATCGCGTTCACACCGGATGTCGCCCTTTGTCGGAAGTCACGTGCGCGATTAATTAAGCGCGTACCTTACGCCACTAGCGGTGGAAACCGATTAAAATGTTCCGCGACTCTCTCTCGCTGTCTGTCACAGTCTGTCTCTCTCTGTCTCTCTCTCTCTCTCTCTCTCTCTCTCTCTCTCTCTCTCTCTCTCTCTCTTTCTCTCTTTCTCTCTCTCTCTGCTCTCTCTCTCTCTCTCTCTCTCACTCTCACTCTCACTCTCACTCTCACTCTCGCTGCTGTCACTTCGTCTGTCTCTCTCTCTCTCTCTCTCTCTGCTCTCTATCTCTCTCTTCTCTCTCTGCTCTCTCTCTCTCTCTCTCTCTCTCTTCTCTCCCTTCTCTCTCTCTCTCGCTCTCGCTCTCGCTCTCGCTCTCGCTCCTCTCTCTCTGTCTCTCTCTCCCTCTCTCTCTGCGTCTCTCGGCGGCGCGTCCTCTCTCTCTCTACTCTCTCTCTCTCTCTCTCTTGCTCGTTTCTCGCGCCGCCGCTCCCTCTCTTCTCTCTCTCTCTCTTCTCTCTCTCTCTCTCTCTCTCTCTTTCTCTCTCCGTCTTTCTCTCTTTCTCTCTTTCTCTCTGTCTTTCTCTCATTCTCTATGTCTTTCTTTCTTTTTCTATCTCTTTCTTTCTTTCTCTCTCGCTCTGCCTGCGCTCTGTCTCTCTCTCTCCTCGCTCGCTCGCTCTCTTTCTCTCTCTTCTCTCTCTCCTCGCTCTCTCTCTCTTCTCGTCTCTCTCTCTCTCTCTCTCTCTCTCTCTCTCTCTCTCTCTCTCTCTTCTCTCTCTCTCTCTCTCTCTCTCTCTCTCGCTCTCTCTCTCGTTCTCTCTCTCTCTCTCGCTCGCTCTCGCTCTCTCTCGCGCCTTCTCTCTCTCTCTCTCTCTCTCGCTCCTTCTCTTTCTCTCTATCTCTCTCTCTCTCTCTCTCTCTCTCTCTCTCTCGCTCCTTTTTTTCTCTCTATCTCTCTCTCTCGCTCCTCTCTCTCTCTCTCTCTCTTGCCGCTGCGCTGCGCCGCGCGTGTCAGTAGCTGTATGACATGTGCGCTGTAAAGGAAGGATGTTCTCGTTGTTTGCACACCTCTGCCGCTGTCGTGTGCATTTTTAACGACAGCAGAATCCTGACCGTGTCGCGACCCTTCCGACCACACTATGGTGTTCAGTGAACCTTATGATGATGCCTGCGTGCGTGCGTGCGAGCGTGCGTGCGTGCGTGCGTGCGTGCGTAGCGTGAGGTGCGCGTGCGTGCGTGCGTTTGCGTGCGTGCGGTGTGTGTCTGTGTGTGTGTGTGTGTGTGTGTGTGTGTGCCTGCGTACGTGTGCTTGTGCGCGCGTGCGTATATTTATATCTGCATGCTTATTAAAGCGTATAGGCATGGTGCTATCACCAGTCATTCCATCACTGCTAGCCTGTGATGCACTTCTGTCTCAACGTAAACGCTAGCTCTAGTACTATAGCCCTTCCCTGCGGCGGAGCGAAGGGCTATAGTACTAGAGCTATACGTAAACGCCAACCAGCCAGCCAGCCCTCGCCTCCCTCCTCCCCTGCTGCCATCTCTCCCATATCCTCGGCAACCTTTCTCGCTCGTCTCGCCATGTATACTGGTTGGTTAGTCGGGAATGTCTAATGCTTCCTTCGCTGTATACATTCATTCACGTGTGTCATCGTCTCATCGCTGTGCTCGCGTGTGAACAGAGTCTGTCGTCTCTTCATGTACATGCGAGGCGTGACTATCGCGGGGTTAGCCATCCCACGGCAGCGTCGCGCTTAATGCGCTTATTACATATACATATACATATATACATATACATATACATATACATATACATATATATATATATATATATATATATATATATATATATATTACATTACATTACATTCACCTGCTAGCTTCGTCTGCTTCACGTGCTGCAGGTGTGCGTGCGGCGGTCATTCGCCCTCGTTCCGCGCGGGGGCGCCGCGAGCGGGCGCGGTTTTTTTTTTCCGCGCGGCATCGTTAGAGTTGTGTTTCGGCGGCATTAGCGGCGCGTTATGCACGAGGCGCGAGAGCAGCAGCTGCTGCCGCCGTCCGTCCGTCTCCCTAGCGTAGCGTCGTTGTCGGAAATCGATGGTGCATGAGCGACGGGAAAATCATTTCGGGTTGATAGGGAGAAAGTTCGACGGCGCGGCATGTGAACGTAGCGCGGCAGTGGCCAGCGTGTTCTACCCCTATTATCCCTATAATATATATATATTATATATATTATATATATATATATATAATATATATATATATATATTAACCGTGTGCTGCCGCCTTCGGTATAAAAATCGCTCTCTATGTGTGCGTGCGTGCATGGGTGTGTCCGCGCGTGTGCGTGAATATTGTGGTGCGTGCGTGCGCGCGCGCGTGTATGCGTGTCTGTGTGCATGCGTGTGTGTGTGCTGTAGGAAAGCCACACATGTGCGAAACGAGTCACCGGCTGCGCCTGTGTATATAGAGAGAGATACGTACTACTATTTGTTATGCAGTGTTTCACGCCGAGACGCCGTCGTCGTAAAATGTTCGGAATTGGAATTTCCGCGGTATCCTAAGTCACCTGCTGCCCTGATCCAATCAACCGATCAAAGCCATCCGATTTTTGCTAGCAACAGTACGCTTTTGTACTATACACATCGACAGTGTGAAGTCACCTGGCCATGACATTTAATGAGATCTCGGTGCGAATGGTTTGCGGGTAGAAATCATTGTAGAAAAGCTAAAAAATAAAAAAAAGGAACGGTGCGAAATTTTACACAAGCACTCGGCACGCGAGAATGAACCCGTGAAAATGGATACACTATAGATCGTGTTAAGTCATCTCCATCGCTCTCTCGCTCTCTCTCGCTGCAGGTTACTTTGCCGACAGCACGGGCTTTGACTGCGGCACTCCGCCGCAGCCGTGGCAGTTCAGCGCACCGTCGTGCGATCTCGACGCGGCGCCGGCCGAGGACGGCTACGACATCTTTCAGGACATGCCGTCCGACGACGAGCCGACGGCCGACAAGGTCTGTCAGCCGACGTCGCTGCGCGACGTGCTGCACGTGCAGATCAGCGACCGGAAGCCCCCGCTGGTGTACAGCGTCGAAGACAGCAAGACTAAAGAGTAGGCGTTGTTTTTTACTGGCGAGCGGACGCGGGCAACGCCGCGAGCGTCTCACATATGACGGCCTACATCTCGGTTATGACGTCATGTATCACGCTGCTGACGTTATACGTCACGCCTATGACATGACGTCGTACGTGCGTACGATTATGACCTTACACGTCACAGTTATGACATCATTGTTACGATATAGAGCACATATTGCGCTAGGGTTTTCCGTCCAAGCGCGTACACGTTGGCTTATATCTTGCCTGTTCAAACCAAACGCGCGCAAAAGACTTGTTGTAACACAACAAAAACATTTGCCTTTGCTTTTGTATTCTGTGAGCGCACAGCGCAGACATTAGCCTTCTTAGATAGTTTGAAAATCACGTGATCATTAGGTGCGCGTTGATTGATTAATGGGAAGCAAAAGTCTTTTGTCTTGGTCTGCGCTTCGTACACAGCCGACTATGGGACACTGATACAAACCATTTGTCGGATCTCAACGACAATTGTTGGGAGACACGTTTTTCGTGTTTCTGGACAAAGGACGATTATCGGAATTCGTTTCCTGTTGGAAAATGTCTGCTGCGTGCGATGGGTCTTAAACATGTGAATACACACACGCACACACGCACGCACGTATACATACACACATACACGCACGCACACACGTGCACACATACACACATGTATACACACACGAGTTCGCACACGCATACGAAACTTTGGCCCGAACACTCGGACTGTACACTTCGACTTGAATATGTACACTCCGGTCGTCCCCTTATAGACAGGTGACCGCTCTGTGGAGGTTCTCGGCCGCTAAACGCAGGTGTTTTTGTCGTACTTTCAGGATCATACAGATGTACTCGCTCTGTGACGTGCTCAACAACCGTACGCTTACGAAGGACGAGCTGCTGAGGCTGCAACCGGACGTCACCATCAAGAAGTTCAGCTGGTCGGACGTCGCGCGCCGGTCGCTCGGCGACGACGGCCGCGACGGCGACGGCCGCGACGGCGACGGCGACGACGACTCGCGGACGTCGGAGAAGGAAGCGAAGGTTGAGTTCGTCTGCCTCGACGAGCGGCTGCTGCACTTGATGGGCGTGGAGAACGTTTCTTAGCGGCGCGGCGGCGCGCGTCGTCGAGAGACGGTGGCGGAGGGGGCGTGCGCGGAGAAAATCCCGTGATCGATGAAGGTTAGTAGTCGGAGGGAGCGTCTCCTCGTTGTCTGGCTGTCGGCCGCGCGCGAGATTTTCCTTTGTACCAAACTCTGTATATTCGTTACGGCGCGTGTTGTCGCCGTGAAACGACGACGTCTGCATTCTTTTAAAGTAGGAAGGCATCGTCGGCGTCGGTATATACGGATGAGTCGGGATGGAGGCAGCACGTATTACTAGAAGAACGTGCTAGCGTTCCTAGATGTTATTCCCGATGTTAGCGGGTGATCCGCGCATGGCCTAATCCCGCGAAGTCAGCGTGGACATTTCACTCGCGTTACTGACAGCTATCTGACCTGCTTCGTCTACCTTATCTACTGGTGATGCCGACATGACGGAGTCGTGTGTGTGTAACTGGCGCGAGGAGTTAAACTATTCGACTAACGGGTAATAGAGCTAATATTATGATGATACATACCGTAACGTACGGTGCTCTAGTCCGTAACGTACGGTGCCGTAACGGTTCTCTAGTGCGCTTCCGTGGGCGGGTGCTGCAACGGAAAACGCTTTTCGCACGATGCGTCAAGTCCTCTGCCGACCTACTGCTGATATATATATATATATATAGGCAGCAGTTCGCTAACGCGTTGACAGAATAGTAACCGGCCTGAGTCACTGAAATCGGCTTCAGACTAAACGTAAGTTCCGCATCGTTTATTATTATACGTTGCTCGACAAAAACGAAAAATGTGCATGGATAAAATTACTAGATGACATGAAGTATATATATACATATATATATATCAATATATACTATGGCGACATCTGTTAATTGCTGAAGATACTCTGTGCGCAATTCGTGCTGAGATGTAGCTGTCAACGACGGAAGAAATGAAGCGAGTGAATATACAATTCCTAGCCTACGATCCGCACACCCAACAAAAACACTGCGTGGTTTTCCTTGCGGCAATTTTTCCTCTTGCAAATGTCGATATTTTTCTTAACATTCGGTTGCCGTAGGCGTCTAGAGCGTCTCGTAAATAGCATCACAGCGTATATATATACATACATATATATATATATTTTGATTATAATGTTTCTATATGTGTATGTAAGCTCTGTACGCGGCCGGGCAACACGAAGGGCACCCGCTACGTGCACAGCTGACGTCATAGCGACGCCCTATAGTGCAGTCACCACGCACACTAGCGTGTTCGTACGCGCTCTAGACCGTTAGAACTGTACCGATTACAGCATCGTGTCCGCGGCCGCGGCTCACGCGTAATCCGACAGTTCGATATTTTCAGGTATTTTTTACCATGATAATAAGACGTTCGGCAGTGGGAACTATTTCCAGCGCGGCTCTGTAGGAAAAACCGCGACAAGCGCGCGTGAGTGAGGAGGAGGGGGGGAGATGACGCGTATATTTTTGCGATCGCGGACAGATTTCCCGAGTCATAATATGTTCAGTCAATGCTTCGGAGACGTCTCTGTTGCCCCGTGTGTCCGCAAAACCGAAATCTGTAACATCGTGTACCAAAGATTTTTAATTAAGGTGTAAATAAGTCTACGTGTATATACAAGGTTTGCCTCTCAACGTAATACTGGTGTAAATATACTAGCCAAACTGGTGTTTTGGCGGATGGTACTGTACTGTGGCATTTTTGAATTTTGCCTAAGATAACTGAAGATGTACGTGCCATGATATTTAGTTATTGAAATTTGTGTGTCATAGAAGGGAATTATGTGTACATGTACGTGTTCTCTGTAACATAAGCTATGCTACCTTTGTTGTAATTTCTGTAAATAATGAATATAATAAAAGTGGTGTGTAAAAATAACCTTTCTAACATCTAATTCAGGTATCGTGACCAATGTTTACTCATGCACTCTTGCTAACAGCGCTGTGCTTACTATTCACACACGCGCGCATGCACGCACAACCACACGCGCGCACGCACTGCGACATACATGCGCGGTTAACCCATCAATCATACTCATCCAAACGTAAATTTACTCCGAGCGACGGAAGACGCTAACCGACTAATAATGTTAGATTTTTTTCCTCGGTAACACGTTAAACGTACGCACGTATGCAAGCCACGACGTACATATGTGGCGCGCCCACTTATTAAAATGACGACGAAATAGCGTCAAACATGCCGCGTGCGGTCGACCACACACCGTGGATTTGCCAACCTGCCGCACTACTACATACATTTATTATTTAATCGCGTGGGAGAACGGGGCGCAATGTGTCGACAGGTGTCGAGGGGGCGTCCGCGCATAGCGGATGATTCCGCGCGAAATACGTGGAGCGCGACCTTAGAGGCAACGAACTGCAGCACCGTCCCCTCCTCTTGCCTCCCCTCCCCTCCCTTCCCCTCCGCTTTACTGCTTTCCTTCGTTATTTGCTGATCTATTGACGGCTCGCCGCGACAGCAGGGTGCGGAAGCGAGAGCAGTCGTCGTGCGTCTGCTGTATGTATGTATGTATGATCCATACGATGGCGAGATGCTGAACGTGGTTAACGTGGGAGATGCAAGGCGGAACGAGCAGTCTTTAATGTACCACCCGTGCGTGCGTGCGTGCGTGCGTGCGTGCGCGTGTGTGTGTGTGCGTGTTTTCATGTG